TCCTTTCATATATATATATATATATATATATATATATATATATATATATATATATATATATAAAGCTTCTACAGTAGCAGGTTTCCATATGGTTGGCAAACAGCCTTTAGTGGTATCTGCTCCTCCCCATAATTCCCTCCTTTATGCTTCTCTTCCATCCCCCTCCCCATTTAGGCTTCCTAGTTTCTTCTTCATCTCTCCATAATAATGTATCCTATTCCTCCGTCACACCACTTCCTCTCGAGTCAATGTCAAGACTAAAGTGTTCACACTGGCACCGCACATCAGGTGTCTCTTAGCGCCGAAGGACCCTGTCATTGTTTCCTTCTCTGTCAGGACCTTGACATGTGGAACTATCTAGTTATGTATTGTAGAGCATGCTCTGTTTGTGTTTGACCCAGGGTTGTTTTTTTTTCCCATGAGTATACTGGGCTAAGGAGACTAGGGATGCCGCAGGTGGGGTATGCCCTTGGCAGCTCATCCTGCAAGTGGGCGGGATCTTAGCGTCTCTTATATTGAAGGCATTAACCTTGATCTTCCGTTGACAGTGATGGCTGCCATCATCTGTTTAGCATTAACCTTGACGGCTGCCAGGTTTTTACAATGCAAGTTGTTGTTTCATTTTATTGTCAGTAAACATTTTAAGAGAATCCATGATCATTTAAGGAAAACAATGACAAAACCACCTATCTGGGCTTTTTTTTTTCTTTCCTTATAAACAACCATTCTTAATGATAGCAACAGAGGTATAGTATCATGGCAATAAGATTACAAGAAAAACATCCCAAAACAGTCTCTCCCAAGTGAGTAGTCTGCAAACACGAGAGGCAGGTACCTTCACCCTATGTACAGTGTAAAACAAACAAGTTAGAGTCTCTCAGTTCCTGATCCCTGTATTATTTGAATCTAGCTGCTCGGTTTTTTTCCAGGAGTGGCATACATAGTACACGAGAAAGGTGCTTATTTTTAGGGGTGCCTCTAACAGTAATAAGGACACTCCCACCTTAAATTAAAAAAGCAAAACTCACTTTCATCCCTTGCTGTCAATCTAATCAAAGCCAAGGCAGTTAAGAAGCTCGGCTGAATTTCAGGGCAAAGTTCTCGGGAAGAATATTGCACAAGCTATGGACGTCTGTTCTGTGACAGGTAATAATCAGGTTAGAGAGGAAACAGAGTAACTTCTTAAAGGATTAATTCACTAAGCTTGCTAATGTTTCCAATTTTAATTGTGCTACACATCCTCTTTCAGAAAGAGATTGGAAGCTTATGGAAAAGTATCAAAAGTGGTTATGTCCTGGGAGATTAAAGAATCTTTTACTTTTTCATTACAGCTCTGGACCACTGGATTTTATTTATTTGTAATATACCGTGGCCGGGCACTGCTTTGAAACTGAAGATAAATCAGACAGTAATGTTTTATTAAAATCCAGTTTCATATGCCTTCTAAAGCAGAACCGTGAGGGGACGAGAAGACTCATATTAAGCTCAGCTCAACAAAACATGATTATTGAAATATCTAAACCATAATATTAAAAGCTGTATTATAAGAAATGCTTGAAAGGGGGACTCTAAGCTTATCTTGGAACCAGAGGATTCCAGAGCCTGTGGTGAGTTCGTATGTTTAAACAAAACATGCACAGTGAGAGATTCACCATCCAAAAGTTCACCGTTTAGCCATGTAACTATTAAGAAGGAACTGAAATGACATCACTCAAAAGCCTGACCCATTAAAAAGTTTTACTTTGGATTTATTTTTATTTTATATGGATGGATAATTTGGCTGCATGTATGTCTGGACACTGCATCAGGGCGTTACCTGAGGAAGCCAGAAGATGTCATTGGATCCCCTGGAACAGGAGTTACAGAGGGTTGTGAGCCACCATGTAGGTGCAGGGAATTGAACCATAGTCCTCTAAATGGCTGAGCCTTTGGTCCAGCCCTCTGACCACATTTGATAATTAAAGGAATTAAAAGGACTGAAATAAAACTAACGTGCGTTCAGTACCAAAAAAAAAACCATTAAACACATTAAAATAATATTAAAACAATGCATTGAGAGGCTGGAGAAGTGGCTCAGCAGTTAAGAGCACTCGCTGGCTGCTCTTCCAGAGGACCTGGATTCAATTCCCAGCAACCACATAGCAGCTCACAACTGTCTATGTAACTCCATTTCCAGGGGATCTGACACCTTCACACAGACATTTAAGCAGGAAAAACACCAATGTATATATCATAAAAATAAATAAATTTAACTTTAAAAAACAATGCACTGAGAGTAGCAGTGTTTCAGTAAACATTTAAAATATTGCCATAATTATCTAAAGCGAAATAGTCAAGGGGAGGAAATACCTTTTTTAAAAAAATGACTCTAGGGTCGGGCAGTAGTGGCTCATCCCTTTAATCCCAGCACTTGGCAGGCAGAGGCAGGCAGATTTCTGAGTTCGAGGCCAGCCTGGTCTACAGAGTGAGTTCCAGGACAGCCAGGGTTATACAGAGAAACCCCGTCTCAAAAAAAAAAATAAATAAATAAAAATAAATCCAGGTTTAAGAGCAGGGTTTCTCTACTGGGAATGCTGGGCACCTGAACCAGCCCTTTCTTCAGTACTTGGGTCACCCTCTCTCCAGCATCTGGACCACTACCCTCTCTAAGGATAAGGGCCTGTGTTCCTGTATTCTTCCTTCACTGCATTCTTCCTACAATTCTTAGGGCTGAGCAGCACAAATTGTCCAGTCTTAAATGCTAGGTCGTGCGCGAAACACGACTTAAAACAGTTTAGCATAAACCTGTCCTGCGGCAAAAGTTATTTCCTTGTTTGTTTTTAATGAAGCAAAACCAATATTTAACAAACGTCAAGCAAATTTATTATTCCCAAGACATTTCAATTAACACAAGATCTCCAAAATATATATTATTTTAAGTATCTGCTTGTTTTTTAAGTTTACATTTAATTCAGTGGCTGTGTTCCGTTTTTCTTTAGCTCTCCACGTGACCTAATTTTTGTGCCGTTAAAATACTGCAGTAGTAAAGATAAGTCTGTCGCTGTGTTAGAGGAAAGAGCTTGTGGTACATTGGTTAAACAACCCGACATGTTCCTGGCTTCTTGGAGATCTTTTGTTTTCTGTAGGAGTAAAAGCAGTCTACCTGCGGAACAAGGTGTGTGCCACCGACTGTAACACGTGTAGAGGTAATCAAAGAAAAGGGAAAAGTGATTCTCATGCTGCCTCGGAGAAAACTTCAACCGATCCTTGCGTCCCCATTGTGTAGTGGAGACTCCAGCACTGGGTAGATCTGCTCCTATCCACCGCGGGACTGGGGAGTTCGCCCACCACCAGGATTGCACCTGTCTTCCCGAAGTTTCTTTTCCGGAGGTCAAAGGCACTTTTCCTCTCAGCGCCTACCCCTCTTCTGGCTTCTCCCAGCGGCCTGAGGCCATGTGACAGCCCCTAACACCTGTCCAGCCACCAGCTCACAGCGCCCCCATCCTCCTCGCCAGGTACCGACCAGGCCCGGCTGCGTCTTCCTCCGGAGGTCACGATCTCGGAGCTAGCTGAGCTCGTCCGGCAGGGGAGGGGCTGAGGCTGGGCCAGAGCCGCAGCCCGAGCCCGTGCAGCAGCCTGATCATCACATGACTCGACGGCGGTAGCCGTGGCAGCAGGAGCGGCGGGTCCGCGGGCTCGCCGGGTGGGCTCAGCACCGCGCACGCAGGAGCGGGGCGCAGGGGGGCGGGGAAGGGACCCGCTGCAGCCGCCGCCCGCCAGCCGCTCCCGGGGCTCTCGCTGTCCCTCCCCAACCGCCCGCCCGCTCGCTCCATGTCGCCCGGTTGCGGAAGTGTCGCCGGGAGAGGTGGCGGCGGCGGCGTCAGGGAGCACGGGAGGCCGGGGCTCGGCCCCCTGCAGCACTGAGCTCCCGGAGCCGCGCGTCCCAGCGTCCCCCACCGCCACCCGTGCGCCCCGCGCCCGCCGCAGCCTGCATGCCCCGCGCTGCGCCTCGGCCGGCCGCCGCCTCCTGCTCGCTCAGCGGCTGCCTGGCGCCGGAGTAATATGCTCACTCGGGTGAAATCTGCCGTGGCCAATTTCATGGGCGGCATCATGGCTGGCAGCTCCGGCTCCGAGCACGGCGGCAGCGGCTGCGGAGGCTCGGACCTGCCCCTGCGCTTCCCGTACGGGCGGCCGGAGTTCCTCGGGCTGTCTCAGGATGAGGTGGAGTGCAGCGCAGACCACATCGCCCGCCCCATCCTCATCCTCAAGGAGACCCGGAGGCTGCCCTGGGCCACCGGCTACGCAGAGTGAGTGCACCGGCGCACCCCGATCTCCTCGCCGCCCCTCCCCGCACCATTCCAGCTCCTTCCTCTCCTGGCTTCTGGGCACTAAGGTTCTCCACCGGCTCTGGCCTCCAGGCCTCGGAGATAGCCTCTTCTCTTACACTGCCCAGTTCCCTTTCCCCCTCTTCGTCTCCCCAAACCCGGGTATGGGCTTTCGGACCAAGCGGTGGGTGGCAGAGGGGGATGGCAACGGCGTAGGACCGTGGGAACGCAGAGATTGGACCGCTCTGATAATAAGGGGTCTGTAACACTTTGGGGGAAACGTGAGCAAAACAGCTCTGCTGAAGTTGCAATATGTTAGGCAAACCTGTATCAGTGTTCAAGAGCCCGCCCCCCCCCCCCAATCCTTGTTCCCCCGCATGAGGTCGATGCTTGCGGGATGTGTTCCCCGAGGCGGCCGGTTTGGTGCGCGTGACTGCACGTTCCGAAAGGTCTTTCTGTAAGCTCATTGGGCTTTCTGGCAGGTTGTGAACGCCGCACGACCGGTAAATGCCACCACTATGTCCCATAGTCCTTGGAGGGATAGAAACTCACTCCGGGTGTCGAATACAGCATTTTAGTAATCAGCTTTTGCGATTAGGCGAGCTCCGGAGTGATTTAAAAACGACTGAGTTAGGCCAACGGCCGGGCAAGGAACAGGGAGAGGAGGTTGTCCTTCTGCTACTCCATGGTCACTTCTCCATTGACTATTAATAAGCATCGTGTGAATGATGGATACGTACTATTTTCTTCCACCTAATATTTACCATTTAGCTTTGTGTAACTGGTAAACTAGGAAAGAAGAGGGCATTTAGACCAGAATCCCTAGGTTAGTGACTGTGGGTCCAAAATCACCCGGAGCCCCTGTGTCCTGTACACCTTTCCCTTTTACACCTTCTCTGTAATCTTGGCCATCCCCAACTGATGCATGGCTTCTCACTCTCTTTCTCTGATTGGTTCATCCAGGAACCAATAAATTTCCCCTGAGCCTGGGCGCCTTCGTGCTGACCCGGTTCTGGTGGCCCAGATCCCCCCCAGCAGGCGTGGTTCCCTACGAGCCGAGTTCCGGTGCAGGAAGTAGGTGGCTTGAGAATCAGTCTGCCTAGAATCTTGAATTCTTTTTCCTCCCGCATCATCCTGTGATCGTGACTTCACGGGCTTGTGTATAAATGGAGACTGATGACTGGCATGTGAAGAAAGGAGCCTGAGAATTGGGTGTACCGGGTGGGCAGGTGGGCGGATAGAGCATAGGCAGACAAGCGTGAAAGAGAAGGGGCAGGAAGATCGAAACAGCCTGCAACCTCCAAGAGGAAGCTGCAACCTAAAGGCGGGGAAAAGTGCCTGCTAATTCATGCCAGCAGTCTCTCGCCTGAAAAAATAAGTTCAAAAGCCATTGGACCCTTTGCAAGGTCAAAAGCAAGTGGAGGTGTAGGGCCCCATATTTGTATAGGTGGAGGCCCTTCTGCCTGCCAAGTTCCTGAGCAGTGGAGGTTTGGTGGAGCATGAACACCTGAGGGTCTGGGTCGTGCACAGGGAAATGTTGAGATTATAGGAGGGAGAGAGGGAGGGAGGGAGG